TGAAAACAACGCTGAGATTCCACTTCACTCCAGAAAGAATGGCTGCTATCATGAAATCAACCAATAACAAATGCTGGCAGGACTGTGGGGAAAGAGGAACCCTGCTCCACTGCTGGTGGGAGTGTCGACTGGTGCAACCACTGTGGAAATCCGTATGGATATACCTCAAAGAACTAGGCCTGGAAGTCCCATTTGACCCAAATATTCCCCTGCTGGGTATCTTTCCCAAAGAATTAAAAGAATCATACCATAGTAATTATGTGCACCCAAGTTCATAGCAGCACAATTTTTAGTAGCTAAAACTTGGAAGTAGCCGAAATGCCCATCAACTGGAGACTGGATTTAAAAAATGTGGTTTATTTATAAAATGGAGTACTACTCAGCCATAAAAAATGAGAAATTAGAGACATTTATAGCTAAATGGTTGCACATTGAGGTGATACTCAAGTGAAATAAATAGGACACACGTGTAAATATTGAATAGTTTCTCTAGTGTGAGAAACTGAAAGTGTAAATAAGTACTGAAAGGTGTTACAGACAAAGTGAAATAGGAATAAAAGGTCCAAAGGGGAAGGGGAAGGAGGAGGGGTCGGGGAAAGGAAAGAAGGGAATGGAATTAATATGAGAAAAGGATAAAATGGAAACAAAGTCTTTGTAAATAGCAAGGGGTGTAGGGGTTGAAGGGAAGGCAGGGGAATGGGGAAAAAATAAGAACCAAGATATATTATGTAAAGGTACAAATTTCCAATAATGAATGTCATTATATTGTATACATAAAATGTTCCAATAAAATTAATTTAAAAATTGAAATTCATTAAGCAATGTTTAACAGAGAAGTAAATCAAGAAATGTCTTCGAAATGTGAAGGGAAATCCCTTGTCAACCTAGAATTCTATTTACAGCTCACCCAACTATGTCTAAGTGGAGTAAGATAGGAATCAAGCCATTTCTACATATGCAAGCCCCCAATACCACCTGTGTCATGCTTTCTTAGCAAACTACAGAAAGTTGGATGGCATTAAAACAAGAAAGAGCACCAAGAGAGAAGTGGATCACTTACAGCACAGGAGACTCCTGCACTTTTGGAGTACCTCGTATTGTTTAGCACTAATACCAGATCCAGAAACCTAGAAGGAAACCTAGGTCTCATGGAGGGAGGAATGTAGGGCATGTGCGCTCTTAACAAAGGGAAGTTCTAGATGATGAGTCCCAGGGGGATGGAAGCCCTTTCTGACCAATCACTCAGTTTATGCCACTGTATTGAGAGGAATTTTAGAGTTGTGCAGGCAGTTTGGTGAGATTTAATGACATGGTCATGGAAAATTCAGCAAAAAGGCAACTGTCATTTTCAGAAAAAGTAAAACATTGCACCAGAAAGACACAATTAACTGCCCACAACAATGCCAATATTGAGTATCGATGGACTCTAACTTTGTGATGTGTTTATATTGAGTTAACAGAGGGAGGAGAGATGTAGGGCTGGCAATCCACTCAGCATGGGCTAAATCCTCATCTTCTGGGAAGGAGTCAATAGATAATTTTAAAAATTGTTAAATCAAGAAGTGGAAGAATAAGCACAATTTTAAAGAAATAAAGAAGAGAATAGTGGAGGAAACAGCTGACAGTTGCATGAGATGGAAATGATTGCTTCTGAGGAGTGGGATTCGGAATACTGTTTTCAATTTTTCATTTAGCCCTAATGCTTGATAAACCACATAAAAATTACTTTGAATAAAGTCTTCTAGATTTTAAAAAATGTGGGTTGCTGACCTTCATGTAGCTAATCTTGCTATGGCTTCATGGAAGCGCATCAAAGCCCTTTGAGGTAGGAAGGAGATAATTTGGTCTTTGGCATCATTCATTCATCTCTGAGTGACTCTCAGAGCTGTTTGTTGCTGGCTGTGGGAAGTCCAAGTCTAAAAGTCTGTAAACGTTTGCATGTTGTCATACTGGTGTGACGAGTAGATATGATACATCTTCATCATCTCACAGGGAACCTGCAGGTCGTGGGTGATTCATAATTGGTGCTTCTTAAGACCATCACTGGCATGACTGAAATATTTGTGAACATACTAAAAGTTTGGGGAAGTATCAGAAGTAGATGGAGACCTGCTGTAAATGTAAGACATCCAAATCATTGTGAGCAAGTCTAGGGACTTCAGAAGAGAGGCCTTCTCTTCTACTCCTCCCCTGGTCATCAAATAAATGCCCTATTTGAGCTAAACCACACCGTTGTTGTTTAAAGGCTCTAACATGCACCCCACACTCTTCAGACTGTGCTCAGGGGTTCACTTCCCGCACAGGAGGCCCAGGACTTTTTCGAATATTTATAGCCGAAGAGGTAGTCAGATTTTAATCTGTAGCATGTTAGCATCTTCCTTTTTATTTTTTACAGGCAAAATAAAACAAACCACCCTAGTGTTACAATATCTAAAATCCATCCTTCCTTGTCCCTCAGCCAGGCTCCTCATGCACCGATCTATTGTTGTTAACACTATTTAGCGCAGAGTTGATTTCAGTCAAAGGTTGTATGAGTGTGAATTGCACGAGGAGCCTTCAGTGTCTAACCAGCAAGTTGAGTTCATGCCCTGGGGCTTGTGCACAGGCTCTCCTTTGTGCCAGGCACAATCTCTTTCTTCTGGCCTCTTGGCATCTCCTTCTGGGACTCCAGATTAGAAGTTACTCCCTGGGGCAATTTCCAAATGCAAGCCATGCCTCCCTTCCCTATGTATCTTATCTTTATTTTGTGATCTCCAGTGAACTGATATTTCTGTACATTTTCATTTTATCTATTTTCATTTTTTATTTAATTGGTACATGTCGTAATGCACAGTAATTACATTAGTTTTGGGAAATTGCTATGAGCTGATGTGTTTCTTTACAATCACTTGTCACAGTTGTAATCAATGATTATAATTAATAGTTTAATGTTTGTATCCTCTACTACTCCATGGATTTCAGATGGATGAGAGTAGTCTTAGCTAGTTTTATCACATCTTTTGTATATCACACATAGTGGATAAGTATTTGGCTCATAGTAGATACATGAGCATATTTATTTCATGAATGAATGAATACATGAAATAACAAGAAGTTATATCTTCCATAGTGTGGTCTTCTGTATAAAAAAGAAAAAAGTGGGCCAGGGATTAAGCTCAGTGGTTCTGCTGCCTGCCTCAAAAGTGCAAGGTCCCCAGTTCAACCACTGGTATCAAATGAATAAATAAATAAATAAAAGAAATGCCCAGATTCTGGTTTTCAGAATCTACAAAAAAAAAGAAAAAAGAAAAAAGTCAGGCATGGTAGTACACAGCTTTAAACCCAGCACTCTGGGAAACTGAGATAGGAGGATCACAAGCTTGATTCCAGGCAAGACAACGTAACAATTTAGGGAGACCCTTTGTTTGGGGATGTCTCTCAGGGTGAAGGGCCTGGCCTCAATCTTCAGTACCACAGAAACAAAAGAAGAGAGCAAGGAAGAAAAGAAGAAGGAGGAGGGGGAGGGGAGGAAAAGACAAGTAAAGGAAAGACTACATATATGGCTCAGAGGGAGCTCTGTACCCATACCCAAGATCATACAGCTAGTCTGAAAAGAGGCAGGACTGGCACCCAGGGTACCTGAAGGTGAAGGCCCATCCTGGTCCCACTCTTTCTGTCAGCTCTAGGAAGTTGGTCACTGCTTGTTCTGCTGGTTCTGCTGTTCACATTCCTGTTCAAAGCAAAGGAGCCTCACAGGAGAAAATGTGTGAAAATCTGCCCCTCACACAACTGCCCCATTTTGGTTGGTCTGTCTCCCTACCTTATTGCTGCTTGAATGAAGTTTCGATGATTTTGTTTGATTTGGAGGAAGAAAAAAAGAAGATTCACAGAGGGTATAAAACTGCATAATATTTACTCCAGAGCAAAGAATTGTTCCCCTAGTAAATATGCATTGAAGCATTTTTATTTGTATTTGTATATTTTAAGATGTTTAAATAGAACCAGTAGACTGTAATATCTCTGTTCAGAGTTGGTGCCATCTATTGATTAAACATGCATTTATACATTTCTTCTTTTTTTAAATAAAAGAGACATATGTTGTAATCATATAATAGACCTGTAAGAATTGATTGTGAAAATACATATTTATAAGTTTCCTTACAAAAGAGTTTATCCAGCACACAAAATTTTAAAAAACACAAGTTATATCAGGATATACATTGATGTTTGCTAAGTGTGGGTTTAATTAAAAGGTGCAGGGTACGTGTGATTGTGTGCCTGGTGTGTGTGCCTGCATGTGGCTTAGGAAAGAGGCTGGTAGACTAAATGTACATTTTTAAACCACAAGTATTTTAAAACAAGTCGCATAGCAGGTGAGTGACAAGGCAAGCTTCAAACCCAGGGTTTCATCTCCCTAAAGAGAGATGATCATCTTAAGCGCTGTTATTTTATGGAATATCCCAAAACAGAGAACAGTAAAACAATGTAAACTTTGAATAATATTTGAAGTATATTTGGAACTTTCTGTAACCTGGTCTGTTTCTTCATCTGTGGAATGGACTAGAATTAAGAGTACAATAAAAATTAAGAGAAAACACCACAGAGCACCTAAGATTTTGACAGAGTCCACATAAAGACATCTGTTCCTGTCCTTGTCAGTTTTCTGAGTGGCACCGTGCTGTAGCTTGGATCGTATGTGTCCCCCAAGGTCCCTGTGTTCAAGGCTTGGTCCTCAATATGAGCTAGTGAGAGGTGGGGCATGTTTGAGAGTTGGGGCCTGCCATCTGGGACTCCAGCCTCTTCTTCTTCCTGTCTTAATTTCCCACCGGAAGAGTGTGGTTTTTCCCCACCCTTCCTGCCATTCTGTGCCTCCTCGGAAGCCTGAAGGCAGTGTATGCACTGATCATGGATGGGTGCCTCCAAAACAGCCAAAATAAGCCTTTCCCCTTTATAGATTGATTATCTCAAGTGTTTGTGACAAAGATGGAATGCTGACTGGCATCACGTGTGTCTCTCTTTCCTGCTAGTGTGGTGCAGGGCTGTGCTGAGTGCTTCTCTGTGTTCTCCAGGTGCTTAGTGCTTGGTTGGTGTCTGAAGAGCCTGCTGAGCCCCTTGGGTAGGGGCTGCTCCTCCCCAGCTACAGTGCCTCTCCTCTGCCTCATCTGCATCAGGCAGGCCTAGCCCCAACTCCACTGCACAGGAGCAGCTCGCAGCACTGCAGAAGCTATCTAAACTCTGGGAGCGTGGTTTCTCCCTCTGCACACTGCATCCTAGCACCTACTTCACTGGTTTGTTGAGAAGGTAAATACAGGCTATAATAGAGTTCCTGGTTCATGGATTTCAATACCATGCTTGCATGATATCTATCATGTGTATGTCCTCAGTCCTCAAGTTCTGCTGATTCTCCTGTTTCACACATAGCCCCCTTCTTTCCCTCTTCCACTGCTCCCACTCAGTTCCAGAATGTGTCAGACACTGGCCAGGCCCACTGGCAGGTAAGCGTGCCTCAGTCTATCCCAGATTCAATTCTATAAATCAGCCCCCTGCTTCAGAGTCCTCCCCAGCTCAAAAACAAGTTAACTTTTTTCTGGCAGCAATTTGGGAATCATCCCTTTGGAGTCCAGGTCTTTCTCACTGTCTCCCCTGTTCTCCCCCAGCTCATCTCAGCTTTGCCCTAGAGAGTTCCCATGCAAGTCTGCTGCCTCCTCTCCCAGACCAGACAGGCTCATTGCCATGGCGTGGGTCCCTCCAGCCCACTCCAGCCCAGCCATGTTTTCCAGAGCATTCTCCTCTTGTGCCTGTGGACTTTCATGGGATCCTGTCATTGTTCTGAGACTTCACACATCAGCTTGCTTGTGAATGACGCACTTGTAACTACGGGTTCTGCAGAATTTGACTTTAATACCTAGAGTGAATAGGTCTTATTATCTTTTTTATATATTCACAAATATGCTGGTATCTCCAAATGTATTGGAGGCCTTTGCCAGACAGGAAGAATCATAGTTTTCTTATCCTCTGGCTTGAAAAAAGGACTTTATATGAAGTAGAAACTTAGTAAGGATCGGGCAATAATATTATCTATCATCTTATATTTTCCACTGGACCCATAAAGTTCATAAGGAGAGCAGTAATCAATTATTCTGTAGTACTTCCTTAAAAGCAAACAGGTCTGTTTTCGAGACAGGGAGGGGTTTAGAGCCAAATAACTTGGTTGCTTAATAGAAACTGCATGGATTTTGCAGTACACAGACCTTGGCGGTGTGGCATTCTGTCAGCTGGCATCCATTGTCCTTTTGTCCCAGCCAAGGAATCCCAGAGAGCAATGTCTTTGAGGCAAGACTCTGGTGAGGAGTGACTGAAATAGTCTCTGTGAGTACCTGCCACACAGTGGGTAGTTGGGAAAGTATTACAAATTATAGTAAGGAAGGAGGGGAGAGTGCACCTACCTATAAAGTCACTCACCCACTGATCTCACCCACTGAACACATTGAGCCAGAATCCACCAGGGACAGATAGCCTCTTCCCAGTCCCTTCTGTCGTAGCTCCTCCAGGTGCAGAGCATGGTTCAGGGGGGCACCTCTCAACTCTCAGAAGGCACTCTGGGCAGGGCTGCAGGCCTGTTTAAGGTAGATGTGCATGTATGGTAAGATTCTCAGATGCTTCCCACCCAGAAATACTGTCCACACAAACTGTCATTCCACAAGGGGCAAACTGGATCACATAAAGCAAAAGCAAGGAAAGCAGGCTGAAAGCCATAGGTATCCCTCCCTCCATGGGCTTCTCCTCTCAAAGATTTCTGATGACTTCAGCAGATATCCACCTCCATGAGATCTAATCTGATTATATCCCTCCCTATGCTGTAATCATAGCAATTGTCTGGGTTTCTTGCATTGTAGAGTTTCAGAATGCTCTAATCGTGATGAACTGGCCAATTCTCTTTGCATCTTTGGTGAACAGAAAAAAAAGAAAACTTAACATGCTCATCTTCCCCCTGGGAAGAAAACCGGTTTGCTACCAAGCTCCCAATGGCAGAATGGGGCACTGGGGTACAGACGTAAATGCCTGAGCGCTCCCTGTGGGCTGCAGATCTGCCGCATCTGTGCCTGGAGAACAAGAACAGGAGGAAGGATAAGAACTGGCATGGGCATTGGTTACATTTCTGCCAAGGAGCAATTCATTCTCTCTCCATCTCTCTCTCTCTCTCTCTCTCTCTCTCTCTCTCTCTCTCTCTCTCTCAGCTATGCCCTGAGCCCTGCCAGAGCCAGGTCTAAACCAACCAAGAGTGCCAGACCCCTCGCCTCTGCCCACCCCAGGAGCGGAGTGCCCACGGGAGCGCACACTGGCATACTCACACGGACAGCAGCGCGCACTGCTGTGCTCCGGAGAGGGGTGAGCGAGGGGCAGGCTCCAACTCCCCTCGGAGTGGAGCCTTCCAAACAGGAAAGTCTCCTGGTGTCGCTCAGGAGAGTGGAACCAATGCGTGGCTCGGAGGAGGTCCGCGCGGAGCCCTGTGCAGATTGGTGCTGATGATTCTTACCAGTTGTGTGTATGTGCACGAAAAAAACCAGAGACGCTGCCTGCCTGCTCCCATCTCTCGCGCGCGCTCTCCTGCTCTCTCCCTCCCTTTGCAAACATTGGATTTAAACCTGCTCAGAATTCAGCACAGAGGAAGGCAGCAGCGGAGGCAGCAGCAGAGGCAGGAGCGAGCCGCAGCCTAGCGCACCGCAGCATCGAGATGTACCATCCCGCCTACTGGATCGTCTTCTCCGCCACGACTGCCCTGCTCTTCATCCCAGGTACCCCGGGTGTTTCCTCTTTCCAGCGTGACTTCGACGCCAGGGCAGAGAGGAAGGGGGAAGGAGAAGAGCTGGGAGGAAGAGGGAGTATGAGGGGCATGTGAGGGAAAGAGGTAGGGTTGCTACACACACACACACACACACACACACACACACGCACTCACGCACGCATACATACACACTGGCTCGCTAGCCTGCTCACACGCACGCAGATGTTCGGATGTTCGCAGCACGGGATTTGCTATTTGGAGGATCCAGTGAACTGGGTTCAAGATCTGCAAGGTGCTGCGAGGCACTGCTGCTGTTTCTGAGAAAGGTGGCAGCTGGCATTAAGCAGTTAAGACCCCAGGGGAAGGAGAGGGGGTTAAACTCCAGCATGCACCCTTCTGGAGTCTCTGTCGGGACCTGCAGGATGCACCGGGCACCTATTTCTGTTTCTCCCAGTCCTGGCCCTCTGTTTCTGAATTGGTCTCTGCATCTCCCCCTTTCTCTATTTTTTTCTGTCTTTTCCAATCTCATCCTCTGCCTCTTTCCCTCCCTCCATCCCACCTCCCTTCTGAACCCTCTTCCTCTTCCACATCAGCTCTGTCTTCTCCCCAGCCCTATTCTTTCCTCTAGAATCTACTGGTGCACTTCTTGCCTTAACACAATCATTCTACAGCTGCTCATCCTCTCCTTATCCTTCCGTCAAATGGGCAGATTATGCCTTTGAAATTCAGAGTCTTCTTAATTTCTACTTCCCACTCATCACATCAGAAATGTGAATTTCCCTTGGCAGAATATGGGATGTGCAAGCTGAGGGGAGGTCAGGGAAGCTGATTCAGGAATCTGGAATCTGTATTTACCTGGTTCCCCAAAGCACTTTGCCTACCTTATCTAATGATTTAAATGCAATGCTACCTGGCATGGGGGTTAGTTGTTTAGGGAAGACAATTCTGCAGTGACATAGGAAGCATGCTGCAATCCTACCAAAATAAGGTTAGTGGGGGCATTGCAAAATCCTGCATCTTAATAGATTTGGTAATTGCACAGGAGTCCTTTGCACGCAGACAACTGAATGCCCGCAGGAATCTTTGCAGTGCTGAGGGGCTCTGTTGTGCTTGCCAAGGTTTGAGAAAGCATCAAAGCGCCCTGCCTTTCCATACTAAATACCAATCCAAGCAGGATTTCTTTTCCCTTTTTTTTTTTCCAAATTGAGATACATGTATTGTGTTAAACATTAGCTAAGACCAAAATTCCCATGCATATATCCACAGACATAAATGCTAAGATTCTTAAACCATACCTTTTCATAGATAAGATACATTCATTTAACCTTTTTATATTCAGAATCTCTTAGTAAGGGTCACACAATTCCCTAAGTACCTCTAAGCTACTGAAGTAAAATAAGACAATGAAAAGTTTACTAGGGAGAAAAAAAAGAGGATCAAGTTTTTTTTTAATATAAAGAAATCCATTGTATAATGATTGTAAGCTAAAATTTAAATTAATCTTATCATTTAAATATTTTAGTTGTTTTGAATTGTACTTTTTCAAGTAGAGATGGGCTCTGCATAACCATGTTCCTGGATGTTTGTTTTAGACTGAGAAGTTCAGAGCTGGGAGTGGTGGCATTTTTCTTCTTCCAAATTCCAGCATCATCCTAGAGGGTTTCAGCCAGGACCTGCCAGGCTGGGGTCCTGGGCTGGGCTGGAAAGGCAGCACCTGAGCACTCAGTACCTGCTGCAGCCTGGTAGAGGGACCCAGGTGGGTGCCCTGAGCCCCCTATAAGATGACAAATTTCTGCGGATTCAGATCCTACTGCCTGGCAGCTCTTAGGGGCTATCTCGCTCCCTCCAGGTTCCCTGCCTGCCTAATCCTGAAGCAGGGGTCAGATTTTCACCCCAGAGGACCTGACTGTGGATGGCCCCTCAGGCAGAACCCAGACTCCCAAAGGGGAGAGGGAGAGCCCCAGTCACTGAAGCTGCATCGCAGTGCACCTTGAAGAAAGCCCAGAACTAGGAGGAAGACTCGCTTTAGGGGTTCCACTTCATGGGCAGGGAACAGGCAGAGCTTTCTGAGAAGCATCAGCCCACAAGCCTCTGCTGAAAGGGGCTGGGTCCCCAACCTCAGCTGTCTGGGGGGTGCAAGACACAAATGTCAGCCTGGTGTCTCCTCCTTGCACAAGGTCTACTCCCTGCTCTGAGGGCTGTGCTTTCTGTGAATTGTGCCAGGAACCTGGCCTGAGAGCTCTCAAGCAGAGAGAGGAAATGTTGGCCTTGGAAGGTGTCAGTAGAGCGAATAAAAACATCACATCTTGGGGGTTTCTGTGGGAATGGAAACCTAGTTGTAACCCTTTCTGAAAGCTGCCTGCATTTACTTGGGGCTTCTTTCTGGCTTCTTATACTTCCTTTAGTACCGCTTTGGACTTTTTTTTTTTTAACTGTGTTACAAGGATGTTTTTTCTCCGGTTGGGTAAATACCAGCTCGTTAGCCATTTACTTTCCCGGCATCTAGAGGCAGAAGGCTAATGTAATAATGAAACTCTGACCTGGTTGGGCCTTGATGCCATTTCACACTGCAGTTTTCTATTTCTTGGTAAAACACGTTTCCATCCCAGAATAATTCAAAAGTTAATGCTGTTGTCACCTGGCACCTTCCAGGGGGAGACAGATGGTCACGAATTGCTTTTCTAGGCAGTCTCTGGCATGCGAAGACATCACTGGACATTGTGTTAGGCCCACACCAGGTACGTCAGAGGGCCATGGAGGGTGCTTGCACTGTCATGCTAGGGCATGAGGGTGGAGTGAGTTTGTTGACCCAGGTAGGAGGTGAGACAATGTTCTGTGCTGGGAGCTCCTTGACCTTTGGTTAGGGGCTTTGTGGGAAGATGAATAGAATGGAGAGCAAGGAGTGAAGGCTGCTGGACATTACATCAAGATCACCTGGGAAGAGAGGGTCAGATGCTGTCCTTCTCCCCTTTCTAGATAGGAGAATTTATAAATCACAAGCATTCCAGGTCCTGATGACTTAGGTTTAGAACAAGTGACCATGGTCTACAGCATTTCCATTAAAACCCATCTTCTGCTTTTGCTGCTTAAACTCTGAGAAATGGCACCATGGCCATGGGCAGGGTGGGGTGGGAGTTGCTTCTCTGGGTAGCAGCCTGCTCTGGGCTGCTGCTCTGGGTAGCAGTTCTGGAAGTAGCAGGTCCCAGGGCTGAGCAGGGGGCAGCTTACTGAGGATGATTGGATCTCTAGCTTGGAAGGCTGTTTCTCTGCAGTTCAGCTCATCCCCTCCTCCTCTGCCATCCTGTTTGGGTCTAGCAGAGAAGAGGCTGTAAAGAGCCCCCATCCACCCATCTACACTGAAATGGGTCTTTGTGCACAGATCTGCAAGCCTGGATCCACAGTCTCATCTACACGCATTTTACCCACTGCATCTTAAACAATCTTTACCTGTTTAGTGTCAGAAAGCCCTGGGCCTGAATAGAAAATTTCCTGAAGTTTAGGATTCTTCTTTCCCTGGAACATACCTTCCTATATCTTCTTCCAAGGAATTTCCCTGGCCTTTGGGGCTGGCGGGTTTGGCTTTGGTGTAAGACATGGGGAGGGCTCTATAGCCAACTTTGAAGAATTTCTTTCCCACTTCTTAACCCCTGACTGAGTAGTGTTGAGTAACTTTTTATCCTTGTCTGGTGTGCAGAAGGGATCACACAAGAGAACCTAAGCCCTAGACTCACTGAAAAGAGACAAGAACAAAGACCAGGTGTCTGGTTTTTAACAAGACTTCATCACCCCTTTGCCATCATAGGTCCATATTCCCCCTCTCCTCAGCTATCACGTGGCCCTCAATCCCTTAAAAGGACCGACATGTTAATAAGTCAGACCACTTACTGTTGGCATTTGGCCTGGTGGCAATAGAAGCCACTGAGGAGACAGGCATCAACTGCTTTCTCAGTAGCCTGCAGCTGGGCAGCCTTATTCAACCTGTGATTAATCAGAGATCCCAAGTGGCTTGAGATTCTCCAGTGTTGCTCCAGTCTTGTCTGCCTTCTTGCTTCCCTCATTCTCACCATCCCTAGAACCCTACAGAAGGAGATTCCTTAGGTAGCTGGCACCTACCTGCTTTTGTCATCTAGCTGCTGTGGGCCTGGGACTCCCACAGTGGCCACTGGAAAGCTAGTCCTGCTGCTCACAGCTCCATGACTGTGCCACAGCTTTTATGGGGGCTGATGCATGTCCCATGAGATGGGCCTCACCCAAGCCTCTGAGTGGACAGAAAGCTGAGAAGTGAGGCTCCTCAATGAGCAGCTCTTTGAAGTTTGCTCAAGACATTACCCAAGACGTGTTTTTTACCAGTCTGTAAAATGGGTTTCATCTATGTATGTGTCTTGCTTCCAACTGGGCAGAGTGGGGCCGGGGATTTAGCTCAGTGGTTCTGGTGGGCACCTGCCTTGCAAGCGCAAGGTCCCGAGTTCAATCCCTGGTACCAAAACAACAACAACAACAAAATAAACCAATTGGGCAGAGTGGCCAAAAATCTAGGTCAGATGATGACAAAGTCAAAAGTTCTGAATTTTTATCATTGAAAAGCTCAATCTCATCTCCTGGTAACAGGGCAAAGAGAAGGATGCACACTTGTAAGTTGGGAGGGGACATTCCTTAATGCTGAAGAGGGTGGAAGAAAAGATACAGCCGTCCTGACTCATATGTTTTGTCATGTGATGAAAATAGACAAAATGTGCTGTACTCAT